TTTGATTAGATTACAGGGAAATAGAGCCAGTGTCAAGTGAAATTTATTTGCTGACCGTTGTAACTCTTTATTTGATGTCAATAACTCGTTTCCTTGTTAGTGTAACCAGTTTAAAATCTCTGAGAATTTAAAAGTATATTAGAAGATAATTTTTATTTACTTTAATTGCTACTGAAAATATGTCGAAAAATATGATGTGTTACCAAAAATAAAACTTAAAACATCAACTTCTGTTTAAAGCTAATTTTTTTTTAAATCTTTAAAGAAGTTATTTATTGATGACCAGACATTTTTGAAGTTTTTGCTTTGGATTTGATTGCAGTTTTGAAATCAAATGTTTTATAATGAATGAAGTATTCCAAAAGTTTTTCTTGTTGGTTAAAGTTTGAAGTCTGAACTTACTGAGGTAGAATTAATTTACGTAATTCTGAATTTTTGCTATATTTGGTTGTTAAGTCAGCATATTGTTTATTGCATGTTTAAATACAAGGTCTTCCATAGAATGCTACCATTTTAATTTATTTTAACTATGTTAATTATTATCTGAAAACATTGTAATGTAAAAGTGAGTGAAAAGAGGAGTGAAAATGACACATCCATTTTTATTCCTCCCACAATAGCTGCAATTCTACAGCTCCTACAGATTACTCATGTTGTATGAAGATGCATAATTCTAACTTTGCAAACTACAGAATGTAAAATGCCTTTTTTTCATTTATGCTGCTTTCTAAAGATTTTAGGTGGTGAGACACTCGAATGCAGATGGGAGACGAAATTCAGACAGTTACTCTATCAATTGGTATATGTTGCATACTTCTTGGATATACTTAACATAGTTATAGTAATTTAAACTGGTAGCATTCATTATGGAAGACCCTGCATATTTATTAAGGTGATATAAGATTAAAGTTAAGAGCCATGGGCATATCATATCCTCAATTGGCACAAAGACAATTAATCCATATGATTATATATAATCTAACTTGATAGAAGTCTGGAGACGAAGATTAGACAGAAGTCTTGAAGATATAATTATGAAAACATCTGCATAATAAGCATAAGTTGCAAGTTGGAGTCAAACACTCCAGACAAATCTGTTAACTTTGGAATTTTTTAAAATTATTTAATCAAATTCCAAAATTAATTTCTAATTATTAATCTTAGTACAAAATGATGTCACTTACATATACACCTGCATATAAGACACATGCTATTTTTCAAAGGCATTTTTTGAAAAAGTTTTAGTACATTTCTAATTTACTTTATAAAAAATTAAAGTACTGTAATTTTCATACAGTTAGTGTGTAAAATGTACTTAATTACAAAAAACAAGGAATATTCAAATACAAACAANCCTAATTACTCTATAATGAATTTAATCTAGATTTAAATTAATTGTGACGTATTTATATAAAGATTTTATTTTATTTTCACGCAAAAAATCTTTCGAGTCCGAATGACGACAACGGAACTTCAGCTACCTTGACGTCACTTCCGCTAAAAATAAACAACAGCGTCACTATTAGCAGAAGCACTCGCCGATGATCTATTAATTTTCTTTCCAAAATTTTGAAAACGCAATAAATTATCTTTATTTATTTTTCTGTATTTGTCACTAATTATTAAAATATTAACGAAACAACAATTTAAGAATTTGAAAATAATTTTTCTGTAAAACATATTCCTGCCATTTTTAAATATTTGAATTTCGCGATATCCCTAATGTGTGTTCTATTATCATTATCACAGTTTTACCAATATGTGGTTTTACATAAAGTAAAAGGCTGGTAGGGGATCTTGCTCGACTTTTCCCAGCACTCGAACTTGAGGTCAAAGGAACCATTAGGAAGTCTGTTAATTTTCAACAGAGGGTGATGCTTTGTTTGCTCCGCAGAGGAGAGGAAACGGAGCACTTGTCATCCCTTGGGATCGAGTAAAAAATTCTACAAATTATAAGAGTTTCAGATACCTTACACCTTCCACCGTGGGACGCTTTGATTTACCACTGTTTTCTTTAATATAACTGTGAAAAAGAACCCCGAAAACTTAAATAATTAATTAAATAAAAATTTATTGATGTAATTATTTTTCTCCAAGCTTCGCCCTCCTTGGATAATTTTCTGCCGACTCCCATGCTTTCAGTTATACTTGGATATAAAATTTAAGTAATAACAAAAGCTAAAAGGCTTAATTATTATAAAAAGGCTTAATTTTGAGAATACCGACGAGTTTTTAAAAATGTTGTAAGTCCGACCGCCCTCGAGATATCAATACAACGCGTGAACCCCCATATCTCCCCTCCCCCGCGAGTTCAGTACACCAAAATGTAATAGCATCGGTGCCTCTTATATACGAGTTACCGAGCCAAATTTGGTTTTTTAATCTTTACTCCATCCTAAGATATTTAACGAAACACACACATATAGGAAATTTAACTCAACCCCTTTATTTACTTCGTTAGGTTCAGAAGGCCTCGGGACATCGAGATTTGGAACAAAGCCGGAGGATTAAATTTGACACGATTACAATACTTTCCCGTGTTATGTTATAACAGCCGGGTAAGTAAAAACATTATTTGAGCTCAGAAAAACCTTAAAATTTGTTTATTTATAGATTAAAAGGAAGTGAGAGAACACCCCCTCTGTTTAAGTTAACATAGGAGAAAAGTAAACAATAATACAAAAGATTACTCCCCAAGCTGCTATAAATAAATACATTTGTACCCAACACAACATAAAAAAAGACAACTTTTTCCTTTCGGGATAAGCATTGTAATTTTATACACTAATAGTCAGACTGCCAGATGGCTGATGCCATTAAGGCCTCAGCCTACAACTCTGGGATTCCGAGGTCCAATCCAGGTGGGAAACTTTATAAATTTTTCATGTGTGAACTGTCCCCCACCCCGGCCTCCCCCATTGTTAGCCTGATCGAACCCACGATAGTTATGGAAAAAAGGCTCATCAAAGCAAAAAGTATAGTCAATAATCATATGGACATTAGTGATTGCCTCCCCAATAACAGCACTTGATGTTTTATAAATATAATAAATTTTATTAAATAGTATCACAATGAATCTGAAACGCATCCACTTAATATATCATAGAATACCTTGTAAGGTTGTTATCCTTATTTGGTAAGGATATCCCATACCTTATCTCAGGAGTCTGATAGTTGGACTCAGGATCTACAGGATATACCATTCCTTACGTACTGTACAGTACAGTACGTAAGTCGTCCAATTGTAAATCTGGCCCTCTCAGAATAGGTGAAAATTGGACCCGGCCACGTTATTCACAGAATATTGATTGCAACATGTCGAGCAACTAAAATGAGACTCCAATTTGAATACTTTTAAACTTGATGGTTGGTGCTTTATTCGACAGATTACGATGCTTCTTCAGTGACAAACAGTTAAGTAAGCAAACCAATGGTATAGTTCGTTTTTCAGAAAAACACGAATTATGCCATTGATTGGCTTATTTAGCAGCTTGTCTCTTAGAAGCACCCTATTTATGTATGTAGGCCTATGTCTCTTTAATCCGACATTAAGTTAGGTAGACTATCATTACAGCTTTCAGGTTAGACATTTCTTTTATTGTTTCCACATATGCATTTGATTGTCTTAATTGGCTTTTTCCTAGCTACGAACCCGTTTAAAATTCGAATAATTCGAAAATTCGTTTTATGGTTTAATATATATTTTAATAAGTTAAAATTTTAATTGAAATGTATCATATTATACCTTAATTTATATAACCCTAGACGATACGAAGATCAGGAATGATAAAGGGATGACAATTTCTGGAAGGAAGAAAACTTTGTATAGTTATAAATAATCAAATACAGTACAAATGAAGCAGGGTCTATGCAAATAAACAAGGTCGAAATGACTCATCTTTGCTCACATCTGTGACTGAACATTACCAAGAACCCGCATCCCTTTTTTCTGATTTATCGACTCTACAACCTATTAGTCACGATAAAGCACGAAATTCACTGTTCAGAGGGTTAAATGCCCTAAATAATTTACTTTTATGCAAAAGAAGAGTGTAAAAAACATTTTTCGAGCTAATTACCCGATTATTTATGAAGAATAAATATTTATGGAGCGTAAAGTTTCGTTAGAAAATTACTAACCGCTCCACTTTAAAGAGAAAAAAAAAAGGGAAAAATTAATGATTTTTAGTGGGAAAGAAGACTTAGTTGTTGAAAAAATAAGTTGTAAAACTTATTATGAGTAATGTCTTCCAGGTATAAACTCGACAGGGAGTCACCCCATACACGCGCGTGTCGGTGTTTACGTTACTGAATTGATTACGAGAGGTTAAGGACGTTTACACGAATGACCTTTCGCTAGAATTCGTTTTATTTAAAATTCGGTGCGAATTTTTATTATATTTATACACTGCCAACTATTTGGAATTATAAAAATTAAATTATTTCTCAATGCGTCATTATTTTGATTTTTTCACAATATATTTTTAAAATAATAAATGCTACGGATAAAAAAAATACGGAGGTGCGCCATCTGGAGTTCATTCTGGCCAAACGCACGTGTCGGCGAGATTTCTGGTTAGCGAACTTCGATCACGCGGTCCGCGCCCGGGCCACGTGCCTCCGCGCTCGATGGCGCGTGAAGAATGTCGTCACGTGACACCACCTCGACCGGAAGTCGAGGGCATTAGCGCGCGAATCTTATACTTCCGGGCTCCGATTTCGTCTGTCGGGGAGACGACTTTCGGACACGGAAGCAATCTCTCGATGTCACCGGAAGCGGCGAGCGGCCTCTTCCGGATCGAATACTTTTTATTTATTTTATTTTATTTTTTCCTAAGATCGATACGTAAGAAATGCCAAGAACGTCGGCCTTAATAGACGAATTTTCGCTTGGTAGGATATAGTAGCGTAAATAAAAACAAATAAAAGAATAAGGTAACGACGGGGAAGCCGTCGACGACTTCCGTTTGGTCGGGAAAAATATTTCGGACGCCGCTAGTTGTGACCTCGGTCGACAGATGGCACGCTGGAGTCACGTGACCGAGCGCGGAAGGCGTTCACCGTATCGTCGACGACGTTCGATGTTGGCGTCTGACCGACGCTCCCCCTCGAAATCCGAAAATTCTACGCCGAGTTGGACGAAAACGACTCGAAAGGTGAGTTCGGCGGGGTTAAATTCGGGCCTCTTTTGAGCCGTTTCGGCCTCCAAGCGCCCATTTAAACCCGGCAGCCATTTAGGCTTAACCTTGACTGGGTTTGCTAGCGCCGTCGCACCTTTCCACTTACGTAATCGCTATTCCGGACCTATTTTTGATGGTCCGTCGTTAATCGGCCACTTTCGTGGGCCGGTGCCATTCGTTAATCCGAATTTTCAATCGTCTTGTTTAACTCTCGTTTGTTTATCGTCAGATGACGAGATGACGCGCGATCTAGTTTGTTCGCTGCTTATGTAAATATTCCGCCCCCTGGCGAAATGCCAGTTTGTACGCTTTTGGGGGTTACTCGTGGCTCGGTTATCGGTGTGAACGGCTGGCGGCTCGGCCTTGTTACGCAACTTAGCGTTGGATTCGGGTGCAACCTTTCGGATTCGGAGGTTCTTCCGGTTGTGTCGGATTAAGGCTTTCTGGGGCCCTAAGTAATTTTGATGTGCAATTCGATGGGTAAAATTACTTTATTTTTTCCCGTTTTGGGGTCCCCAGGTGCGAGCTTCACCTGCCTGGTGGCCGGTCAGCATTGCCTCTGAGACTCCAGAACTGTGGATCCTCGACAGTGGTTTCTGTGGTTCTGAAACTTCCAAAAAGTGCCAAAACTTGCATTTCGTGATTTTTGGGCTGCAGTGTTTGGATTCCAGATCTGTGGATTCCCACCATCTGCCTGCCCTTCCTTCCTTAATCTTGAATGGAATTCGATAGACAAAAAGGCGAGACCAGATCTGGAAAACTTGGGAAATGAAGGGCCCCTGATTGTGTGTAAACTTTTGTCTGGACTGAAGTTGTGTGATTTTTTAAATTAAATGTGATTAAAAATTGCAGCCTGGCATTGTGACAATGTTGCGATAATTTGATATGTTTTAGAAAATTCTTTGATATCAGTTCTGCATTCAGTGTGTCAGCTGAGAACGTTTCGATATGGTGCCGTGATTCTTGCCTTATACTATATTTCAGAGCTCGCTCTTGCAGTCAGGGAAATTTGGAATGATACTCTGCAAACTACCTAAAAATCTTTTATACAAGGGCTGTTCAGAAAGTTCGCGGCCTTGCCTATATGCGGCGCTGCAATCAATTTAATTTTTGGCAGGAATAATTCAGCCATCTTTGCTAAAGATACGATACCAATTTCCGCTTGATTTGTCAAAAAGTTTTGCCACGACAGCTTAGCAGATAGTCAGTGTGCACATGCTTTGTNTAAAAAACAACATTAAATTTAATATCATCCTCTTTAATTTGGCAAAATATTAAATAAAGATAATTCCTCAATTTACTAATCTGAACCCTTTATAATCCAAACAGCTTCTGCTGTTCCCGTAATTAAAATAATAGACTCGTCAACTGTATATCTGCAGCATATAGTATTGTGAGTATTGCTACTCATTCTTTCTATGATCCTGTTTGACTTAACAACAATTCTAACTTCTATTTGCTACTGTAAAGTATCTTACACCAGTAAAAATTGCCTCAAAGTATAAGCATAATATTCTTATCATCATATTCCCGTTTATCCAAACTTTTCATTTATCTGAACTACCACTGGTCTCAATTAGTTTGGATTAGCATGGCTGTACTGTATATATATAGTATTATGGACAGTATTTTTTGAGGATGAAAGTGTGTGTTATAAGCCGACAAATACAGTACGTCAAATACATTATCACAATATACTTTATAATAATGTATCAACTCAACCTTCTCTTATTTATCTATGCAAATTTTCATTAGTTTGTGTAATTTGTAGATAATTTTACTTTGATTTGTATTATATCAAAAGTAAACTGGTAAAAAATATGTATAACAAATTTCTTCTAATTTCAGATTTTAATAAACATCACATTTAGATTGCCAAATAAGCATGAAATTACAAAGTTTAATTTAGCAACTCATCATACTTAATAATTATGATTCTATATCAACTTTCATAACATATATTTCACGTTTAAATGCTAATATGTTATTTAATGTCCTAACTTTATTTAAAAATGCACTCAAATAAGTCTTTCAGAAACAAATAACTCATTTATTTAACATTTTTGAGTGTTCTCGCACTTCAGATAAAAAAATTCTGTGATGATGGGTTTAAGAATGCTTGAAAATGTTAGATAAAATAAACATTGTGTTTCTGAAATCAGAATTTGTGATTTTTCCCCCATTCACTCTCTCTCTTATCATAAGGAATGGGAATATTAAAACATATTCATGTAACAAAAAGATATTTAAATGTTATAACATTTAAATTTATAACTTAAATTTATAACATTTATAACTTACTAAAAAGGATTTAGAAAGTTATTCTAGGAATGTGAAACAACCTCTTAGAGAAGTCCTCGAAACTTTAAATTAATGAGGAGTCATAAGATGATTGTTTAGAGTTTCACATTGTGAAAAAAATTTTAAAATGTTTAACTGTATTAATTTATTTTTGATGCACATACTATTATATGCTTTGTATATAAATTAATACAAGATACAGAGGACAACATTATAGAATTTTTATATCAAAAAGTACTGTACTTTCAGCTTTGTTTTAATGATCTATACAGTAATACAGTGGTTCTCAACCTTTTCTGTTGATGTACCCCATTAGCTTATTAGTTGTTTCTCAAGTACCCCTTATATTTTTGTATGTAAATTTTATAATTACTGCGTTAGGTGTATACAGCCCTTATAACTGACCATCATAAAAAAAACTCTAACTAACTAACTATAACTAAAAGTGAATTACTTATTTTACGTAAATAATAATAAATTTAATCAGGTACATACAGTTATTTATTATTATTTGACAAGTATATTATATGAAATCACAGAAGTCATTTCAATACATGCATAAATTACATTTCCTAAAAATAAATAATTTTAATTAACGATAAAGAAAATTAAATTACTCTACAATAATTATTAACAAAATTTAACGGGACATTTGTTGCGATAAATCTTCAGCAATTTTTTCAAAATTTGGTTCCCAAGTTGTTAAATAGAGATTATAATTGTGTACTGATCTTGAAAGTAATGACTGTGAATTTATGTCCAGAAAAATACACGAATCTTTCAATTTTTGTAACAAATGTAACATCTAAATTTGCTAAATATCAAGTAATGCGTATATGCATTGGCATGCATTGCATGGTGGGGGTACGATCCAGGCCTCATTATTCCTAATACCAGTAGTCCAGTAAAAACATGAAAAGCCCCAATCTTATCGAGCATTAATTTTAGAATAGAAAAAATTTTTTTTTTCTATTCTAAAATTAATGCTCGGTTAAACCGTAATTTTACTAGACTACAGGTTCACTCGGCACTAATGGCACAAATAGACAGGCAAATCAAGTGGATAATAAACAAGCTGTTTAGACTGTTAAAAGGGAAATTAGTGTTTACATTGGGATATTTTAAAGCAAGTTTTTGTTGTTTCTTGTGTTAATAATTCACAGCAAATTGATTAACATATGCCATTTTATTATAAAAGTTAGATGTACCCCTTCGATTTAAGCTTGTACCCCTAGGGGTACATGTACCCCCGGTTGAGAACCACTGCAGTAATAGAACAAACTTTTGTTTCACTACTGCAGGGGGCCTCAACCCATGTTCAGTGAAACACAAGTTGACCCACCAGAACGAGCATTTCAGTGTTTTTGCAGAACACCTATGTTTGCAAAACACAAGTGTTCTGCAAACTTTCTCTGAGCGTTCCAAGAAAAACAATACAGTTTTTTTATTGCAAATTTATTTCAGTGTACAATAACATATTACTTTATTTGTAGGCAATTCCATATATACTGTTTTATTTAATACAGTAAAGCTTATTAGTTTATTGCTTTATTGTTTCATGAGAATAATTAATATGGAATTGCTTATTGATTTTTGAATATATTGATGCTAATGTTTCACATAATAAAGTATATGAAAGTCATTCTGCGGCCTCAGAAAGGTCGAGAACCACTGCATTATCATATAGATTATTGAATCTTTAGAAATGATGTATTTTCTTGAATTTAAATGAGGAAAAACAAAAGCATTTGAGAAAATACACTCATTAAATTACCTCCCTAAGTGTAAATTCAATTCAGATTGCTTTAGATAAGTTTCACTTAGAAAACTAATTCTTCTAGATTTCTCAATCACTTTTTTCTTTGCACAGAAATACTCACAATGATGCTCTTGCCCTGTTCTTCCAAGAGTGGAATGCTATTAGTAGTGATCCCATGTCACTAAACCTTAAATCTGAACAAGGATGTTCACTCCAAAAGTACTAGAGTTTTTGCCCTGAGAAGAGTGGTTCAAATTGACTCGAACTTTAAAAAACAACATTAAATTTAATATCATCCTCTTTAATTTGGCAAAATATTAAATAAAGATAATTCCTCAATTTGGAAAAATATAAAATAAAGATAATTTTTTTCATTTTTAGACAGGTTTTATTATTATTTTTCAATCTCTCTCCAATTTATTTTAATATTTTTATAGCTAAGAAACTTAAAATGTTTAATCCAATTATAAAATTAAAGCATACTTTATTTGAAAAATTACTGGAGTAGAATGATAATTTATTTTTATTACAAAATCTCTCAAGTTTTTAAAATAAAAAAATAAATAAATAAAAGTTTTCAGACAATTTATGCCATACTTTGTGATGATAAAAAAGTGAATTGTTTTATTGTCTGAACATTTAGCTTATATAAAAAAAATTTTTTTCATTGTTTCTTTATCTTTTAGACCCTTCTTCCTGCTTTCGATTCTTTGTATCCACAATCTCCGATTTCCTTTTGTTATATTATTTGTGAAATATTTTATATTAATTTCAATTTCCTGTTAGCTTAGTCCATTTTGAAAGAACTTGTCAATCGAACATTTGATTCTTATCTCTCTAACAGATTCCTCTTATCTAATCTTGTTCAGTTAAATTTGACGACAACAAAAATTTGACTTTATTCGTTATTAAATTC